CCCGCGAGGATGATGATGATGATGAGATGATGATGATGATGATGATGATGATGATGATGATGATGATGATGATGATGATGATGATGAGATGATGATGATGGTGTCCCGATGATGAAGATGATGTTGATGATGGTGTCGATGATGATGACAGTGTCCCGATGATGAGGATGATAATGCTCATGATGATTATGTTGATGATGATGACGATGATGGTGTGCCGATGATGATGATGATGATGCTGATTCCGATGATGTTGGTGATGATGATGTTGATGGAACTGGTGTCCCGGCGATAATGATGTTGATGATGGTGATGATGTTGATGATGATTATGGTGTCCCGATGACGATGCTGATGATGATGATGGTGATGATGATGATGGTGATGCTGATGGTGTCTTGATGATGATAACAATGATAATGACGATGTTGATGATGATGTTGCTCATGATGATGATGGTGCCCCAATGATGATGATGTTGTTGATGATGATGCGATGATCATGATGATGATGGTGTCCCGAGGATGATGACGATGTTGATGATAATGTTGGTGATGAGAACGATGGTGATCATGATGGTGTCCCGATTATGATGATGATTATGATGATGCTGCTGATGATGATGACGATGACTGTGCCCCGATGATGATGATGATGATGTTGATGATGAGATGATGATGGTGATGGTGATGATGATGTTGTCCCGATGATGGTGCTGACGTTGATGCTGATGATGTTTATGATGATGATGATGATGATGATGATGATGATGATGATGATGACTGTGCCCTCATGATGATGACGATGTTGGTGATGATGTTGATGTTGATGATGCTGATGATGATGATGATGATGATGATGATGACGTTGATTGTGAAAGCGATTGTGATATCGATAGTGAGATCGATATTGAGACCGAATGTGAGATCGATTGTGTGATCGATTGTGAGATCGATTGTGAGATCAATTGTGAGATCGATCGAGTGAGATAGATCGAGTGAGATCGATCAAGTGAGATCGATCGAGCGAGACCGATAGTGAGATCGATACTGAGATCGATAGTGAGACCGATTGAGTGAGACGTTGGTTCCCCCCCCGAACCTCCTTATCACCCGAAGGGTGGTCGTATAGGTACTGTTTCGCATTCCGTATTGCTCCTTGGAAGGATGCAATACAGCATATTCGCTTGAATGGCAGTCCCATGGGATGTTGGTCTTTCAGGGGGGGGAGCTTCTTACAGTGAAATGGATGGCTGGTGGGGACTTGTATGTAGGGGTCTTGGGACGGGAGGGTGCACTGCAGCATCGCTGATGCATCTTGGGAGTAAGTTGGTCTCCTCTTCCTCCTCCTCCTCCTCATCCTCATCCTCCTCCTCATCCTCCTTCTCCTCCTCCTCCTGCTCCTCCTCCGCATCCTCCTCCTTCCCTCGTCCTCCTCCTCCTCCTCATCCTCCTCCTTTCTCCTCCTCCTCGTCCTCACCCTCCTCCTCCTTCTCCTCCTCCTCCTCTTCCTCCTCCTCCCACTCTCTCTCCCCCATTACACACAGCTCCCGTTTCGGATTGCGCATCGCATGAAGGGATCATTTGCAGGACCCAGGTCCTCTAGAGCACCCGTCGCCAGATGGAGTACAATCAGTAGAATGGGAATGTATAGGTGGGAGGGGTAGGATCTCAGATCTGGTGCGAGCGTACCGAGCTTACCTTCCCCCATATCAGTCCTCATCCTCCCACTCATCCTGTTCCTCCTCCTCATCCTCCTCTTCCTGTTCCTGCGCCTCATCCTCCACCTCCTCCCCCTCACCCTCCTCCTCCTCGTCCTCCTCCTCCTCCTCCTCCTCATCATCATCATCCTTCTCATCCTCCTCCTCATCATCATCCTCATCATCATCATCAGCAGCATCATCAGCCTATTCCTCCTCCTCCTCCTGCTCCTCCTCCTCCTCCTCCTCCTCCTCCTCCTCCTCTTCCTCATCCCACTCTGTCTCCTCCAATGTACACAGATCCCGTTTCGGATTTTCGGATTGCGCATCGCATGAAGGGATCATTCGGGGGATCCAGGTCCTCTAGAAGACCCGTCGCCAGATGGAGAACAATCAGAGCAATGGGAATGTATAGGTGGGAGGGGTAGGACCTCCTCCTCCTCCTCCTCCTCCTCCTCACTCTCTCCTCCTGCTCCTCCTCCTCCTCCTCCTCCTCATTCCTCTCTCCACTTCACCCCTCCTCCTCCTCCTCCTCCTCCGTCCTCCTCCTCCTCCTACCTCCTACCTCCTCCTCCTCCTCCTCCTCCTCTTCCTCCCCTCATCATGCGTTCTTCCTGAATCGCCCTCTCTCTCTTCTCTCTCCCTCGTGCTTCCCTGCCTCCCCTCCTCCTCGTCCTCGCGCCTCCTCGTCCTCCTCCTCCTCGTGCCTCTCTCTCTCCCCTCCTCCTCGTCCTCGCGCCTCCTCCTCCCCTCCTCCTCGTCCTCGTGCCTCCCCTCCTCCTCGTCCTCGTGCCTCCTCCTCCACCTGTCCCCCGCACCCCGGGCGGCGACGGCGACGCGGCGCAGGTCCACTTTGCGAGGCTGCTGGACGGCACCCCGGTCGCCGTGAAGGCCTTGGGCGGCAGCTGGCCGCCCTCGCCGCCGCCGCCAGCGCCCCCTCGAAGCAGCAACTCGCTGCGGGAGGAGGGGGGAGGGAGGAGGGAGGAGGGGGGAGGAGGAGGAGGAGGAGGAGGAGGAGGAGGAGGAGGAGGAGGAGGAGGAGGAGGAGGAGGAGGATGGGGGGAGGCTGGGTAGTCGAAGGCCAGACTGGCAGATTGGATGGGGCCCCCAGGGCCAATCTGGCCCGGCCAGACGGGATGATTTGGGTCATCCGCCAGATTGGATTCGCGTTGGCTCCCTCGCCAGATTGCCCCCGTTTGCCAGATTGGGCCTGCCAGATTGGCGCCAGATTGGCTTCGACTACCCAGTCTGGAGGGAGGGCAAACCGCTTTCGCGCCCCAGCACCGTCGAAACCGGATCCGGGCAGAAAAATTACACCAGACGGTCTTAAGGAGAGGTTCTGGTGGTCGAGTGTGAGCGGATTTGACCTCGTCGCCCGACCCTCGCCGATCAACGATTGAGGCTTTGATGGGGGGAGGAGGGGATTTGACGACGCGTGCGGCGAGGCGAGGAGATTGGGTCAGCCCTAGAGAGCACAAAAGAAGCTTGACCAGGCGGCGGAGGAGCGCCACAGCGTGTTCAAGTGACGGTGGCGGATGTATGTTGGGTCTTTCGCAAGGCTTAAAATGGGCAGTCGTGGAGGGAGAAGTGGAGAGACGAAGAAGAAGAAGAAGAAGAAGAAGAAGAGGACGAGCAGGATGGCCTGGAGAAGGATGGGGAGGAGGAGAAAGACGAGGATGAGGGCAACGACGAGGACGACAACGAGAACGAGACGAAGGACGAGGACGACAAGGAGGATGACGGGGCGCAGTGAAGGTGCAGTACCCGGAAGTGGAACGCTTCTTCAAGACGGACATCGGGGCCGTCTCGTTTGCGATGCAGGTTTTAGGCATGGGCTCGAAGGTCTGGCAGTTCTCCGCCACCTCCTCATCAGCACCTTCCTTGTACTCCACCTCCCGCTTCCTTCTCTTCCTCCCTTTGCCTTCCTACCTCCTCCACGGCAGGCAAACATGGGGGCACAGTGCCGCTTTCAATACATGCTCCGCGTGCGGGTCATATATTTAAAACTAAAGGGATTTAGTATTAAAACCAATGATGAACTTACGCATTGACTTATTAGTAAATTAAGCATGTATCAAAAATCCAATGTGTTAAGAATCCGATGTATGAAAACCTGCCCTGTATCTCTAGCTGCAGGTCCGACCCCACGCACGGCGTCTGAGCGAGCGCGAGCCGGCGGGAGGGAGCAGCAGTCTGGGCTGCGACCTCGCCGGTGGCGAGGCGCCGAGCCGCACGAAGGAGCGCATTTTCAAGTCGGGCCTGTCCCCCTACAGGGGGATCTTCGACGAAAACTAGAAAATACCCCTAAAAATAATCAAGAAATAGTCCCAGGAATAGTCTGGGGACTTTTCTTGCGTATTTTGGGGCCTTCTTGGGGCATGTGTTGGGGTATTTTTTTATTTTTCGTCGAAAATCCCCCTGTAGGGGGACACGCCCGACATAAGAGTACTTTCGTTGTCGTGCCGATCAGTGGGCACCATCAACACCACTCTGATCTGCATTGCGGTTGCCAGTATGTGATGTGGTCTGCCCAGGGCGGAATTGAGGCATTTACTGCTGTGAGGGAATGTGTTGCGATGTTGGCGCGCCCGATCCACCTGCTTGCTATGTGTCATTCCACATTTGTGGTGGTGCGCGCCACCACCAACACCAGCACGCGCCACTCTGATTTGAGAAGCTACGTTTGCACCATTGCACGCCACACCTAGCACAATGCGACCACTGTCGACATGACCGGCACCACCCCGGCCTGCACGATTCTTGTCTCCTAACATTATCATCCGTAATATTTGCCAGTTCGTTCTCGTTAGTTTTGTTTTTTCCATGTTCTTCTTCCACCCCTGGCACCACTGCGCTGGCAACCGCGGCACTTTGTGCTCGCTCGTATGGCATGTCATGGCTCCCAGATCTAAGCAGTTGCGTGGCCTGTCTCAGCATGTGGACCCAATTCTATTTAGACTCGTGGAGGACATCTGTGAGGGAACCGCCTCTTGCACTGCCTGGGGTGACTGGTCTACGCACGCCCGTGTTTCTTTCTGCGGGCGTCCGTTGGATTGCTTCTCTCGGATGTCATTCCCCGTTCGTTGTCCCTATCCTCATCGCTCTCCCTCTCTCCCTCTCTCTCTCTCTCTCTCTCGCGTTCTCTCTCATACATATATATATATATATATGTATGAAAGAGCGCGTTCTGTGGTCGCTTGGAGGGGGGGGGCTTGGAACTGGACCACCACCACCACCACCCTTCCTCGGCTACTTCTCCTCTCTCCATCTCCTCGGCCCGGTGCCTGCGTCGGCGGCGGCTGGCGGCGGCGGCGGCGGCGGGGACGACGATTTCCTGTTCTGGCCCGGCGCCAGCGCCCGAGGACGGTGGTGGTGGTGGTGGTGGTGGTGGGTTGTGGTGGTGGCGGTGGTGGTAGGTGTGGTGGTGGTGGTGTGGTGGTTTGTTGTGAAGGTGGTGGTTGTGGTGGTGGGTGGTGGTGGTGGTGGTGTGGTGGTGGTGGTGGTGGTGGTGGTGGTTGTGGTGGTGGTGGTGTGGTGGTGGTGGTGGTGGTGGTGGTGGTGGTGGTGGTGTGTGGTGGTGTGGTGTGGTGGTGGTGGTAGGTGGTGGTGGTGGTGGTGGTGGTGGTGGTGGTGGTGGTGGTGGTGGTGGTGGTGGTGGTGGTGGTGGTGGTGGTGGTGGTGGTGGTGGTGAGGTTTGGTGGTGGTCAAGCTAGCCAGCTCGAGCGAGTCAAACATGGCATGCCCATTCCCACCCGCCCTCCCACAACATAAGAAACAGTGATGGCACAATTGGGGGCTGCGCGGGCATGTCAGTGCGAGTGGAGGATGGCCCGCGAGGCTTCGGGCTTCGAGGCTCCTCCAGGTTCGGGCTTCGAGGCTCCTCGGAAGCTCTCGCGGCTCTTGGGCCCACATCCCCGACGATCAGATTTTCTCCGCGCTGGCGTTTTTCCCTCGACTTCGCACGTTTTTCTCTCGACTTCGCCCTCCAGGGAACGGTTTTTGGCCCCCCGGACCAATAAGAAAATATCCAGGACGCAAAACTGCTCCCGAGAAAGGGGTCGAGATCTCAGAAAAGGCTTGGGACAAATTCGCCGGCCCAACGGGCCAGAGGCGTGCAAAGATTTCCGGTAACTAGTTAACAATCTTCTAGTTTGCGCGCGCGGGGCGACCCATGGGGGCCCCCGGACGAAAAGTACCCCGAGCAGCCTGGGGGCCCCCGGACGAAAAGAACCCCGAGCAGGTCCTGGGCACCTCGGCCCCAGCGATGGTTTTCTTCTTCGGCGCTGACTTCCAGGTCCCAGAGCGCCCCAGGAACGCCCCAAGAGAGCCGAGACGCCCCCGAGACGACACGAGGGGCCCTGAGTCGCCGAAAGATCGATCCAAGACGCCCAAGATGGCCTCCAGACGGCCGCCAAGAAACAGCGGGGAGCCTCAGGAGGCCCTCCAAGAGCCTGAACAAGCAAAAACCTCCCAGGCATTCGTAGCCCCAGGGCCTCCTGGAACGCCCCGGCGCCCAATGAATTGGCGAGCCAAAAACGTGCGCCGAGCCAAAGCGGGAGCGCAACTTTGAGAAAATTTCGCTCGGCGCCCAAGCGGGAAGGTCATTTCATTCACTTCGAGCGGGGGGGGGGGGCCACGCCCAATTCTTGCCATGCACTTTTACGGGGTGGACGACAAGAACAGCTATGTGGGCAGGGAAAATCAGCATGGCATTGCTTCTGACAAGTACGGTGGCCCCTCCCGCCTTGGGGTTGCCCCAGAAGTCCGCGCGCGATGTGCGCCGCGCCCCATTCCTGCCACGCATTTCGCATCGTCGACGACAAGACAGGCCATGATGAAACGAAAAACGGCAACTCTGTTTTGTTTTTTACAGTCAGGATGGGAGGGACCGCAGCCCGCATGGACGTCCGCGCGCGATGTGCGCCGCGTCCCACTCCTGCCACATATTTCGCACCGTCGGCGACAAGGAAGGCCATGCTGAGAGGAAAAAACGGAGACTTTGCATTGATTTTTTACAATCAGGATGGGCGGGCCCGCATTGATGGCCGCGCGCGATGTGCGCCGCGTCCCATATGTGCGCCGCGTCCCACTGCTGCCACATATTTCGCACCGTCGGCGACAAGGCAGGCCATGCTGAGAGGAAAAAACGAAGACTTTGTATTGATTTTTTGCAGTCAGGATGGGCGGGCCCAGATTGACTGCCGCGCGCGATGTGCGCCGCGTCCCATTCCTGCCACGCTTGTCGCATCGTCGACGACAAGAAAGACGATGTTGAGAAGACAAACGGCCACTTTGTATTGATTTTTTATAGTCCAGATGGGAGGTCCCGGATCGGATTGCTATCGGCCGGAATACGAGGTAGGTGGGGGTATATAATAATAAGGAACACGGATGTGGTGGTGGTTTGTGGTGGTGGGTTGTGGTGATGGTGGTGGTTTGGTGGTGGTGTGGTGGTGGGTTGTGGTGGTGGTGGTGGTTTGGTGGTGGTGTGGTGGTGACTTGGGGTGGCGGTCGTGGTGGGTTGTGGTGGTGGCGATGACTTGCGGAGGTGGTGCTGGTGTTGGTGGTGGCGGTGGTGGTGGTGGTGCTGTGGTGGTTTGTGGTGGTGGCGGAGGGTCGTGCTGCTGGTAGTGGTGGTGGTTGTGGCGGTGGTGGTGGTGGTGGTGGTAGTGGTGGTGGGTTTTTGTGGTGGTGATGGTGAATTGTGGTGGTGGTGGTTGTGGTGGTGGTGGCTGTGGTGGTGGTGGTGGTTGTGTGGTGGGTTGGTGGTGGTGGTGGTGGTGGGTTGAGGCGGTGGTGGTGGTGGTGGTGGTGGTGGTGGTAGTGGTGGTAATCGTCGCTGCGTCCCCGCCGTCGCCGGCGCCAGCGCCAGCGCTGCTGGCTGCCGCCAGCGCCGGCGCCGAAAGGGGGCTGCCGCCGTCCCCGCCGTCGGCGCTGCTGGCGGCCGCCAGCGCCGGCGCTGGCGCCGAAAGGGGGGGGGATTTTGAATCCCCCCCCTCCCCGTGGTAGGGGGGGGGGTTCGGGAGGGGGGGTTTTGGGGGGCAGGGGAGTCCCTCTGGTTTTGATCGACGGCACCGAGTGTGGGGGGGGCCCACCCCCCGGTTCGAAACGCGCCGCCGAATGTTCCAAAGGCAAGCGCCCGTGAAACGCGTTCTCTCATGTGTGTATATATATATATAGATGTGTAGATATATGTGTGTAGGTCGTTCTCTCTTCTTTCTTTCTCTCTCTCTCTCTCTCTCTCTCTTTCTCTCCCTCCCTAGATCGATGTCTCTCCCCCCACATACATATATACACATATTAATTTCATATATAATATAGTGTATCATATCATCGTGTAAATGATGTCATATAATAATGTATGTGTGCATGTCTCTCTCTATTATAGATCGGTATTCCCTCTCTCTCTCTCTCTCTCTCCATATGTTTATTACCTATAAAGATATGGAGAGATGTCTCTATCGTCCTATCTCGCTCCTCCCTCCTGGCCTCCAATGTGCTTGATCTTCACGGCCGATTGGGCCATAGGGGTTCTGCAACCATCGCTAATATGTGATCTCGGTTTCTCCCTCCTCTTTCACACTTCCTCAGCTGCACGCTTCGAGAGGCGACCTCAGCGGCATCAGGATCGCTTCGGTTTGTCGCAGTTTGGAAAGAACCTATCGCGATGCAAGTTGGACAGAGTTGGGAGCTCGCGGGGCGCAATGTCTCCACCACCACCACCCCTCAGCTCCACCCTGCCTCCCCCTCCTCCATCCTCCTCCTCCTCCTCCTCCTCCTCCTCCTCCTCCTCCTCCTCCTCCTCCTCCTCCTCCTCCTCCTCCTCCTCCTCCTCCACCTTCTCCACCTCCTCCTCCTCCTCGCCCTCCCCCCCATGGGCTGCCTGCGCGCCCCGTAGCCGAGCAGGACTAGGCAGAAGGCAACAGGGAGGCAGGACGGGGGCATAGGGGGCAGGAGAGGGAAAGGATGTGTTCGCACGCGTTCAAAAAGAGAGTCCCAGAAGCTTCCCAAGGTCTCCGAGCATGTCCAGTGGTCTCCAGGGAACCCCTCGGAGGCCTCCAGGGGCTCCTGGGGGGGTAGGAGAGGGAAAGGATGTGTCCGCACGTGTTCAAAAAAGAGTCCCAGAAGTTTCCCCAGGTCTCCGAGCATGTCCAGTGGTCTCCAGGGAACCCCATCGGAGGCCTCCAGGGGCTCCTGGGGGGTAGGAGAGGGAAAGGATGTGTTCGCACGTGTTCAAAAAAGAGTCCCAGAAGCTTCCCAAGGTCTCCGAGTATGTCCAGTGGTCTCCAGGGAACCCCATCGGAGGCCTCCATGGGGCTCCTGCAAACGGAGACATCTGGAGACGACAGCGGGGGAGCAGAGGAACGGAGCGGAGGAGTGGAGGAAGGCGGAAAGAGAGAAGGTGAGAGAGGACGAGGGGAGGAGGAGGAGGAGGATGAGGAGCAGGAGGACAGAAAGAGCAGGAGGATCTGGAAAAGGGGGGCCCTCCTCCTCATCATCATCTTCCTCGTCCTCCAATCAACATCGTCATCAGCATCTGCATCCTCAGCATCAGCATCATCATCATCATCTGCATCAGCACAATCATCACCATCATGGTCGTCGTCATCTTCGTCATCCTCACCAGCATTAGCATCATCATCATCCCAATATTTATTACTGACATAGTCGTTATAAGTATGGTAGTCGCGACCACTCAGCATCATCATCGCATCACCATCATCATCATCATCATCATCATCATCATCATCATCATCATCATCATCATCATCATTATCATCATAACCATCACCATCATCAGCAGTATCACCATAATCATCATCATTGTCGTCATCATCGTCGTCAGCATCAGCATCAGTATCATCATCGTCATACCCAATGCTATCATCATTTGCATCAGCATCATAATCCTCATCAGCAGAATCGTAGCCATAGTCATCATCAACATCATCAGCGGCATCATCATTACCGCCAGCATCATCATCGACACCCACATCGTCATCAACAACAATAACAGCATCATCATCAACATCATCATCAGAATCGTCATCATCGTGGTAATCAGCATCAGTAGCATCAGCATCGCCATCATTATCGACATCGTCATCTTCATCGTCATTATCACACGCATCATCAGCAGCATAATCGTCATCAACAGCAGCAGCATCGTCATCATCATCATCATCAGCAGCATCATCATCATCGGCATCCTTCTGATCATTGCGATCCTTGCCTCGTAACCCTATTCTTCCCCTCCCGCTGTTTTTGTTCTCATCATCTTCCTCAGGTTGTCCCTTCTCATCCTGCTCCTCCTCGTCCTTCTCCGCCTCATCCCGCTTCCCCTTCCCTCCCTCCCCTGATTTCTCCGCTTATCAGATCCATTCCCTCCAGCCTCCTCCTCTCTCAAAAGGTGAGAGAAGTTTTCAAAACGATGGAGGAGCAGTTCCAGCTGGAGTTCGATTACAGGAAAGAGGCAGCTGTGATGCGCGAGGTGGCGGAAAACATCATGCCGCACTACGGTGACAAGGCAGGGCGGGGGGGGGGCAGAAACGCTTGACGATTCCCAAAACCCTGTGTGTGTGCTGGGCTGAGGCTGCGCCACCCTTTTCCTCCCCCATGCCTGCCTAATTCAAGCTTCGCGCGGCCCGCTTAGCTTCGACCGGAAGAGGTGCGCTCTCGACCCGCGGATCAAAAAGTGTGTGTGCTGGGCCGGCGCCGTGGGGGGAGCGCGCCGACCTGTGCCAGCTCTGGGGGCCCTGGGGGACCGGAGTCCTCCGCGATCCGTGCCCTCGCCCCTCAGTCTGCACGAACGAGATGGGCACGGAAAGAATGGGCACAATGCCCAACAGCGGATCCTCTCCATTTTGAACAGGACTCGCTGTCCACGCCGCCGCGGCCGCCTGCCCAACAGCGGCCGCTGCTGCTTTGGGGCAACACTTGTTGTCGGGCATTGTGCCCACTTTTTCCGTACCCATTTCGGGCATCCAAAGTCAGAGCACCGCCGACGCTGAGCGTTCCTTCCCGCGCGCAGGTGAAGATCCCGCTGCCGATAGACGGTGAGCACCCGCGGTGCCCCCCCGCGGTGTCGTCGAGGACCCTCTGCACGCGGAAGGTCCTGACGATGGAGCGCGTGGTCGGGGTGCCCATCAGGCAGCACGTGCTCCCCCTCTTGGAGATGTTCGCCGAGAAGCACAAGATGTCCGTCGACGACCTGCAGACGATGTTGAAGCAGCAGGACCCGTCCAAGATCGACATGAGCAATCCGGCAGTGCGCGAGGCCATGGGCATGAAAGAGGTCAGCGAATGCAAGAGCGGGCTCTTCATCTTCTCGATGAAGGTGCGGAACCTGACCGCCAGGCTGGTGGGCGGCTGCGCCGGAGGCTGCCGCTGCTCGCCCCCGACCTGGACAACCAGGAAGATGTTCGTGCCGCTGAACGGCCCGCGGATTGCCAAGCTGCTGTACGACGTGCACGGCCACGAGATTTTTCACAACGGGTTATTCAACTCCGACCCGCACGCTGGCAACGTTATGATGCTGGAGGATGGGCGCCTAGGGCTCATCGACTACGGTGCCGTGATGAGACTAGACGAGGAGCTGCGAACCAACATCGCTCGGCTGATCGTCGCCATAGCCGACGATGACGACGATGCCGTCGCGCCCTCGATGCACGCGTGCGGCTTCCGCAGCAGGAACCAGGACCCGAGGCTGGCCCTGCTGCTGGCCCACATGTTCTTCAACCGCGGCCCGTGGCCGGCCGACATGAACCGGCTGGCTCCCAAGGTCGGCATGCCACAGGACGCCGACATCCTGACACTGGACAGGTACACAAGGGGAGGGAAGCTGGACGAAATCGTCGAGTTTCCAGGGCACATGGTCATGCTGCAGCGATGCTGCATGGTCCTGTCCGGGATCGGGATGGAGCTGGGCGCTGGGAGGCTCCCGGACGGGGCTGGGACGAGGACGAGGTTGAGAGGGCCGCGGCGACCGAGACATCCTCCGGAGCCGCCGTAGATCAGAGATTCCCGAGGCATCCTCTCCCGATCCTCGTCCCTGCTTCGTCTTGAGGCTCTCCTCCGCGGGCATGTTCAGGGCTCAGGCGAAGCGCTGGCTGGGCAGGCGGTGACCCGCGGCGGACCGGGCGTGCCCACATGCGCCGTGCGTCCTCCCGGAAGGTCTCTTCTGCGGGCGTGACCTGTGTACAGTCCTTCCAATCTTCCTCCTCCTCCTCCTCCTCCTCCTCCTCCTCCTCCTCCTCCTCCTCCTCCTCCTCCTCCTGCCTCCTCCTCCTCCTCCTGCCTCCTGCCTCCTCCCCCTCCCCCTCCTCCTCCTCCCCCATCACTGTCCAGGGTCGGCCGTGGCCACGCCCCGAGCCCGGGCCGCCCGGGAAGCGGCCCCCCAGGCCCCGGGTGCGCGGAGGGCGGGGAAGGGGGGGGGGGGGGGCCGTCGGCTCCTGCAGGGCTCCCGGGCTCCGGGCCGGCCCGGGGGGGAGATCGGAGCGGGTTCGCCGGCCCCCTCTCGGAGCCCTCTTCGTCGGGGAGGGGCTCCGTGTTCCTTGATTGTTTCACAGCTTGCCTCAGGTCTTCCCAGGGTCTTCGACGGGGGATCGAGGTTTACCTTCTGGAGAACAGGGGCCTCGTTCCTTATTTTTAGGGTTCCTGAGGTCAGCGCCCCGACAGTATCTGCACGAACGAGATGGGCACGAAAAAATGACGGGCACGATGCCCAACAGCGAAAGCCCACGGGCGCGAAGCCCACGCGAAGGCTGAGGTCGACTGCCTCGGGGGACCCCCGGCGGGGGAGCCCATGGGGCGCTCCGCGCGCGGTCGCGCCCGGGGCCCTGCCGCGTGCACGCTCGAGGGGCGCCCGGCTCACGGCTCGGGGATCGAATCATGACGTGAACATTCTGCACGAACGAGATGGGCACGGAAAGAATGGGCACAATGCCCAACAGCAGTTCCTGCTCATTTTGAACAGGATTCGCTGTCCACGCCGCCGCGGCCTGTGTCCATTTGAGACAGAGGGCCGCCTGCCCAACAGCGGCCGCTGTTGGTTTGGGACAACATTTGTTGTCGGGCATTGTACACAGTGTAGATTCGGGCAAAACGCTGGCAGGACAGAAGTTGACCAGCGAAGGGAAAAGGTACCCGAGCGTCGCGTGTTGTCTCAGAGAAGGAAAAGGTACCCATGCAGCTACCCTTCCCTCGTTTCCCCTCTTTGGCCTCCTTGGAGGGCCTCGTCGCCACCGCTGCATTCGCCTCGAAATTCTGGTCAGAACGCACCCCGGGAGAGGTCTGGGGAGTAGCGGTATCGGCGTATCGGTACCTTTTGGTTCCCCCACTATCAATCCCATAATTCCCCCTCATGCGACATTCCATGGATCCAGGACGGGCCGAGGTCCTGCCTCCTCGTCCCGCCCATTCCCAGAGCCGAAAGGAGCGCAGGGGGGGGGCCGAGAGAAGTGATTCCTGTCGTTTCGCGGGGTGCACGTCCGGAGCACGTAAAGACTGGCTGGGCGTCTGGTGGTTTTCCCTGCACGTCTGTCACGCCGGTCTGCCGTGTCGTTCCGCCCGAACTGGGGCGCTTCCAACGCCATTTTGGGCGGATTCCAGCAGTTGTTGTATTATGTTTGTTGTTGTTTTGACGTGAGCCCCTGGCCTCGTCCGCTGCAGGAGCCTCTGGCCGGCAGCTGTTTTTCGAAAGCAGCTTTATTTGTTCAGTGGCGCCTTTGTCGATACCGCTGGATCCGCTGAGAATCTTTGCAAGTCATGCTTCCCAAGTTCATTTCCGACGTGAGCCACTGGCCTCGTCAGCTGCGCGAGCCTCTGGCCAGCAGTTTCCATATTGTGTTTGGTATTATTTGGATGTGTTTCTTGGGGCATCTTGGAGGTTTCTTGGGGGCCTTTGGGGGGCCTGTTGGGGGCCTCTTGGGGGCCCTTCGGAGGCTGGGGGCCTCTCGGGGCCGTTTTGGGGCGATGTTGGGGTCCTCTTGGGCCGTCTCGGGGGCCTCCGGGGCCGTCTTGGGAGCCTCTTTGGGCCATCTTGGGGCCCTCTTGGGCTGTCTTTGGGTCCTCTTCTGGGCTTCTTGGGCTGTTTTGGGGCAATATCTGAGGCTGCTTGGACCGCCATGGGCCTTTGAGAGTCGAGAAGGGCGAGAACGTTAAAATCCTTCAAACCTCCATGAAAAATCAATGATGATGGCCTCTGAAGGCCCTCGTGGGGGTCCTCTTGGGGCCTTCTTGGGGCGTCTAGGGGCTTGTTCAGCCCTCTTAGAGCCATCCTGGACCGTCTTGGGGGCGTTTTCGCCCGTCTTGCGGCCATCTGGAGCCGCCATGAAGCTCTCTTGGGTACCCCAAGAGGGCGAACAGGCCGAAAGCATAGATTTCCTCTAGGTTTTGGTAGGTTCCTGTGCCCCGAGAGGGGGGGGTCAGGTTGGGTCGACGGACGTGGCCTAGCGCTGGGGGGGTTAAGGGGGGAGGCATTATAATGTAACACCATACAACATGCACCCACGATGTAAGAACAGGATACGTTGCAATTGTGCAATCATGGGACACATTGGACATGTTGCATTATCGTTTCCGCAGAACCCGCTGCCGCTCAGCACGTCACTTCTTGACGTGAATTCTATAGGCTTGCGCCACATCCGGAGACCCCTTGATTCGGAACGGCCTGGCGGCTTCCAGAGTCCTGCGCGCAGGGTTTCCTGGGGGCTTGTTCCTGGGTGCATGGTCTCTTGGGGCCTGCTCCTGCGTGGGCACGTCATGGTTGGAGGCCATCGGCGGGGACTGTGGGTAAAACACACACACATACACACACACAAACACAAAACACACACACACACAAAAAAAAACATGTGTTTTTTTACGCCAGACAGCGTCGGCGCGATTTGTTTTGTTTACCCGTGTGTGTGTGTGTCTGTGTGACTGTGTCTGTGTGTGTGTGTGTCTGTGTGTGTGTGTGTGTCAGTGTGTGTGTCTGTGTGTGTGTGTCTGTGTGTGTCTGTCTGTGTGTGTCTGTGTGTGTCTGTCTGTGTGTCTGTCTGTGTGTCTGTCTGTGTGTCTGTGTGTCTGTGTGTCTCTGTCTGTCTGTCTGTCTGTCTGTCTGTCTGTCTGTCTGTCTGTCTGTCTGTCTGTCTGTCTGTCTGTGTGTCTGTGTGTCTGTGTGTCTGTGTGTCTGTGTGTCTGTGTGTCCGTGTGTCTGTGTGTCTGTGTGTCTGTGTGTCTGTGTGGCTGTGTGCCTGTGTGTCTGTGTGCCTGTGTGTCTGTGTGTCTGTGTGTCTGTGTGTCTGTGTGTCTGTGTGT